CATCGTGTAGAACTATGAGTTCCCCTCAAATAACGCAAATAATCAGTCTTTTCTTCTCTATGCCCTCCGATCTTTTCTGTTGAACTCACTCATTTTTCTCAACTGGTACTAGTGATCTACTCGTCCGTTCCCATTTATCATTTTTAGTTGGATGTAAAAGGTGAAACTAAAACCACTGGTAAACTGACCGCGATGAAAAAGTTTCAAGATATCGATCGTATGGCCACCACAGACAACACGGGATCACGCCTTGAAACTATTCATCAGAACTGCATCAAGTGAGTGGAGTAGTGTGCTACGAGCCTTCAACTACCCGGTAGCGATCGATAAATTTTGTATTGATTGATCCTTGGCTTATTTCGCGCAATCACTTGGAAGTACATTCTGAGCGAGACGATTTGCTGCCTGCATTCTCTCATGTCATACCCGCAATCACTGACTTGCCGTAATCTAGATCATCACATCTTTATGCTTTCATAAGATGCCATTTTGTGATTCACTGTTACTTGAATTGTTTATGACTTTTTAGTTTGTTCCTACTCTCCTTTTTCTCTGTGCTTCTTCCTTTTTACTGATGCCGGAATTCACTAGGTGACTAAGATTATTGATTGAGCCAATGAAAGTTTATTTTAAATCATAAATAATCCAGGTTAACTCATTTCCGAAAATGCAAGAATCGAAAACACACGCAACGCAATGAAACTAATCTATCGTTGGATAAAATAAATCATTTTCTATTGTATTCGGTGTACATTATATGTATATACCCCCAAAAGTATGTTAACATGGTAAGGTCACTGTAGCTGAATAATTCAGTCCGACCTGCGGGGAGCTAAGTTGATCGTTCGCGACCAACAATAGTGTTCGTGATTTCTGTCCATTTTCGTCGTAGACGAAACAGTGGCGAACACTTTGAGTTGTCTTCAAAATGTTAGCACTAGATGAACAGCTGAAGAGATGTGTGATTTTAAGGATATCTACGATATCTTCTGTCTGTCCAAGTGTATAGAACTTGAAAGACTGACAAGTCCTGTTGCTCCTCTTGGTATCCACAGTGCACCTTCAAACTGGCACTGCAAGACGGGGTGTTGACCATCTCTAAATTGCAACTAAAGGGTCTGGAGTTGATTCTTTTCTCTGTGTAGCTAGTTGTATCACTGTTGCCGATAACACTGATAAGGAAATAACCGCACTCACTTCCAAGGCTTGATCTGCATACACTGAACTGAAACACATCGCTGATAGGAGATTTCCTCAAAACTGCGTGTGTGAACACAGTCAGATCACTCGTTTAATCGATTGTGAAGGTTTGTGTTGCTCCCCTTTTCTCGAATTAGACCCAATCCTAGTCCACCTTAAGCGTTCGTACTCACTTTGGTGGTGACGCAGTGGTTTAATCGCTGTCACCGGCGTGCTTTGAACCTTATGGTCCGAGGTTCGAGCCCCACCAACGTTACCCGACTTGGGTGGTAGGCAGCTCTGCTGTTGTCCGGTTCAATATCACGCCTAACCTATCAGCGCCTTGTGTGGTTCGCCACTCCAAGTCTCGGGGCTTGCCGGTTTCCACCACTGAAAAGCAAGTCCTCGTGACTATGGGGTTTGCCCCATCTGCTGTTCATCACACGTGGGTGGGTAATAAAAATAAGCTTTGCATTGACCAGCGAAGTTCGCTTCAATGTATTTCGTTGTACGATGATCATTTCATGATCATAAAGAGCTAAACCGCATTGACACGTGCGTTATCTTGACGAGTTGAACTAGAATTCTCGGTTAGTCCGATTGTGAAAAAATTGATTTAATCCATCCAAAATCGAATCGATCTGTCCGAATATGAAAGAATTGCTGAAATCGGATGTTTGGAGGTCTTGGCATCAAACTGACAGCAGTGGTGATCTTGCTGTCACTTCTTATCAGACCTGAATGCTTGAAGGCATGTGTATGTACAATTGGCCTGTGTACTCTGTGTGTTGACTATACGGGGTTCAGTTTCTTTTCTGGTCCCAAAAATAGACCCGTTCCCTATCCTCCTTACACATTCTCACTTGCCTTGTATGCATAATGAGTTTGGCAGCGAACAGTGAATTTCACTTCACTGTATTACTATGTATAACGATGATTATGATGTGTATCAGCAGCCTCGTAATAAAAACATTCGTTGTTCCAATACCGATCCATCATCAATCAAGCATATTATATAAACTAGTAGTGAATCAAAGTTTCATGCTTCCACGCCGACGGTCTACAAATGAGTTAGTAAAATTTGTGCATTTCACTCCCTGTACCAATCTCATACTTCTATCCATAATGAATTCTATACTCTTTTACAGCGAACTGCGTATTTACAAAGGAAGCCGTGAAAAAGTTACCTGTCTGTCGTCGATCGGCCGTGACGGATACATGGTGTTTTGGGATTTACCGACTCTGTGCCAACAAATTTCGCAATTGACAATATCCTAAGCCCCCGGACGAATCGGACCAATGCTCATCATCACCCATGGACTTTCGACTACGCTTCTCTTTTTTATATCTATCTCGCTATATCTGTATCTGAAGATATCTGTTGCGTCATCCAGCATTACTGGCCGTCACCTAATGTGCCCGTGTACAACCAGTGATTTTGTGCTCACTCACAGCCCGTATGCAGCCCATCTCTTGTGGCAAGTTCACACTTTTTACGTGTTGTTCCCACACAAATTCTTATCTGCTTCCGGATCGGCACTTGGGGCACAAACGTTTGGCCCCTGCTAAAATTCCGTCAGGCACTGGGGTTTCGCTTAATGTTTGGTACTCTGTGATCTTCCTGACCAAGTGTTCGCTCTCTTTGGCCATAATTTATGAAAATATCTGACCATGTCACTTTCTTACAAGAAAAGAAATAATTTTTTGCCCTGTTCTTTTCTCTCTGACTGAGTAGGTGATAGCCTACATTAGACAGCTGATCAGATCGAGATTGTTCGGGTGCCATTCAGCCGTGTTTATACCAATGTTGTGCACGCATCCAGTCTACAAAAAGCCAGGAGACTCGCGCTCCAAGTTTACTCAGTCGATTGGTTGCATACAAGCTCTTGTCACCTTCAGGATATACTCTGGTGGTCACTCTCCGAGATCCGCTCTGTTCCAAAAGAACTCACAATTGCCTGATGTCAGACTTTCCAGTCTTGTTTAAATTCTGGTTACCATGATCAAGCAGTAGGGCAGTCGATGTCTGTGGGAAGGATTCGCATGTAGCAATTTTTAATAAAAATATTACTTCCTTTTATTGCATATACAAAGATACAATTTTCAGGAAGAGGGAAGCGGCCAATCAAAGGGCTGCCATTCAGCACACACACAGTGGGGGAATTCAGGCAGTGGTGATGGAATTCGAACACATCCCCAGGGTGATAATTGGAAACCGTTACCACCATCGGGCCACTCTCAGGTGGATGTAGTTGACCTCACTAATCTGGACCTATCCGTCATACACGTGTGTGAAGAACGCTTCTGATCGGTTAATTTGTTAGGTAAATTTCTGGCCTGGGTGCTCCAGTATGCCGTGTACATACTAAGCTGGTCGAGACGTGGTTCGCACAACTCGGAATCGACTTCCACCGCGAGGTAAGTGGTCATTGAAGAGGCGTTAAAGGCTTTCAATACGCCGCCCGAATAAAAAAGCGTGACAGAACCGAACCCAAACATGACGAGTGAGCTTTCAACCCGTTTTTTTTTCTTGAACACCGCTCCGGGTTCATTCGATTGGAAAATTATCCTTTGACGGGCTTTCTGTCATAACTGACTCGCCATATCCTTACCCGTACCGATAGCACTTATGAATAGATCGACATCCTGTAAGAAGGGTATACAAACTCAGGACCCGATGGTGGATCCAACAGGGCATGCTGTATGTCCTTCCCTATCCAAGCCACTGCAGGAGACTAGTCAGAGCTCTGCTCAGACGTATCGCTTCATTTACAATATCCACTCGATATAATCTCCCTCACAATTTTACACACTTGTAATTTGTATAGGTTCTCATTTTTTAAAAATTGTACATCGGGGCAGCTTCGTCTCTTGGACCTGAACTGACCAACAACACAAGCCCCCCGTAATAGAAAAGCTGCCGTGAGCCGGACCTCATCAAAGCTGTTCACCGTCACTGATCTCTGTTACGTTCCCGGATCGCCCTTGGACGAGAGGAAGAACAAAGACCGTCAGATCTGTGTGTATGATCGAATGAATGCGTCTGGCACCAAACCACATGACCAGAGCGACAATCATAACATCATAAAAGGTCAATGACATTGTTGTTCACCTGCTGACCATTGACACCCGTAACAATATCAGGGTATGAAATCATCATAACCTGTAGTCCGTCACTTTGATGAGCGTACGATCCTTGTTAACCAGATCAGTTAAATTAAGCCAATTCTGATCACACTGCAATCTTAATCATATTATGTGGCGCTCTATCTAACACGATCGGCTGTCGGATAAGAATGGGTTGTGATGAAAAGGGTGTTTCTTTCTAAATCTTTAATCTGCCTGAAATCATTTACAGAGTCCAGTAGAATCGTTAACTATAATAATCTGGGACAGGGTCGATTCTTTCCATGCAGTCATATTGGAGCGAGCTGGCTGGGAAAAACGTCTATTGATCCAATTCAAAAGCAAACAGTGAATGCGTTCGACTATATACAGTCAATTCTCAACCGCGCGACGGGATGATTCATGCCCCCTTCTGTGGGCATTCCTTGTTGGTTTTGGTCCGCACTTGGCACGTACGTTGCCTCTTCTTTCGCGTGTCATCCCGACTGGTTTGAGCCGATTGCGGCGCGAGATGCGTTGATCAACAGCTCCGACGTTGTGGCATTCGGTGGGTATTTTTCCCATTAGCTGCGGATTGTCTATCGGACTGTAATTGTCGGTTCACTCGTTTCGGGTGGCAGTCAACATTGTCTCGCGAGGCTTTTCCGCCGCTGCGTCTGCGCGTCCGGTCGGATGAGCCCCATTCTTGATTCGGTCGCTAGCCAGGACTCTCTTTGCACTGCCTCCCATCACAATATTAATTCATGCTCTCCAGGAGCCGGGCGATTTTCGCCTACCTACTCATTCGTTTTGTGTTTGCCATGCGA